GGGAGAGAGAGAGAGAGAGAGAGAGAGAGAGAGAGAGAGAATCCCAAGCAGGCTCCATGCTCAGTGTGGAGCCAGATGGGGGCTCTATCCCAGGATCCTGGAATCATGACCTGAGCTGAAATCCAGAGTCTGATACTCAACTTACTGAGCGACCCAGGTGCCCCTAAGGAGATCATTTCTTAATAGTGCATTGAGCAAAGAAAAAAATGAAAGTTTTTTATTAAGCAGCATCAAAAGAGCTTGAAAACCTAGTAGGATGCCTCATTTTAGGTCATTACCAGCCAGAGCAAATAACATGTCATCATTTGGGCAGTGCTTCTTGCCTATAATTACAGTTCCTTTATTAGATATCAAGATTGCTCTTCCTTAAAATATTCCCAAGTTTGTACACCTACTATGCTGTATTTGAGAGTCATTCTAGTTTAGCAGAAATAGTATGGTATTTGCATCTGTAATAACTTGGATGTTCTCATTAGGTGAGTGTAAGCATTTAAAATCCTGCAGAAATCCAGCATATTAAATAGAAGGGCAACAGCTCCTTTCCTGGGGGATAATGAGAATTAAATGAATCAGTAATAGTTATGGATCTAACACAGTATGTGGCACAAAATAGCCTTCATAAAGGTTAGTCCCTTTCTTTGTTGCTCCTTGTTAAACTATTCATTAAATTGCACTTGAGGGTGTGAGGGCTAAAGTATAGCTTATAATTATCACATTGTTATGCCAGTTGTTACAGAGGCCAATGTAGGTCTTTTGTTCCACATTTCATCCAAACCTGTAATTTAAAAGTTCTGCTTTATCATGTGCTTGCTATAAATTTAGGAATCACATTCTATCCTTAATTGTCACAACTGATCCTTCACTTTCACCAAAGGACACATTTTGCTTCCCATAAAATTCAGAAACAGATTGAGATACAAAATACTAACTAAACACTGGATTGTTCTCTCTCTTCCCATGCTGGGCCTTGCTAGCACGTCAGCTGGGGATTATCTTTTTTTTTTTTTTAATTTTTTTTTTCAACATTTATTTATTTTTTGGGACAGAGAGAGACAGAGCATGAATGGGGGAGGGGCAGAGAGAGAGGGAGACACAGAATCGGAAACAGGCTCCAGGCTCTGAGCCATCAGCCCATAGCCCGACGCGGGGCTCGAACTCCCGGACCGCGAGATCGTGACCTGGCTGAAGTCGGACGCTTAACCGACTGCGTCACCCAGGCGCCCCTGGCTAGGGATTATCTTGAGCAATCTTTTATGTTTAATAGGTGACACCAGAGTCATTTTAATGACCAATTTATAAAAAATTTCCACTGACTTGCTAGAAAATTAATTTTTCAGTTTTAAATTCCTAGAGCGATAGTACCGGTTAATGTTAATTACTCTTTTCCACTTCTGGCTAATGTCGCTTCTATTATGCATACAATACCAGGTAATTAACACCCTCCACAAATAAAACAAAAGGCATTGAGGTGTGGTTTGTCTTCGACTAGACTTCTCTGAAAGGTTTGAGTGACCACACAGTCTTGTTTTTGCTCATTGTCAGTCTGTTCATGGGGACACCTATGTATCTACATTTATCCTTTTGAGGAAGGGGAATGGAGGCTGGCGAGTTTTGCACTGAACACCTGTAGGAGGCGCCATAGATAGCACAGCCTATCACAAGACCGTGCTCTGGTGCTGGGTAGCGATGATGTGCATAACCGTACACGGCGACCCTTTCAGAGTTTACATTCAGGTGTGATACAATTATTTCTTTTAAAAGTAGTCTTTCTAAAATACATTCCTTGGCGAAAACGGTAAGGGTCTGAAAAGGGCTGCATTGTTTTAAATCAGTCGTGGCGGGCGGAGAAAGAAAGGCGGAGAAAGACAGAAAAGGTCTAACACATCTAAGTCCCTTCTGTTCACTCAGCGGTTACCTCTGGGATGAGCTACTTTCGGGCTTAGGTAATTTATTCAATAGAACTGAGTGGTTTGACAAACGCTCATTCACCAGGAAAGGGGTAATTTCTCTCTCACTGACAGGATTAAACCTACCATTCATTGACACAACTGCCATTCACTAAGGAGTCCCAAACAGGCTCCCAGTCGTGAGACCCAACATGACAAATGCAAAAGCTGCAACGTTTGTTTCTTTTTCGGTAGCCTATTCTGCCAGTTTGTTCTTCCGGCCCTTCCCCCCACTCTCCCCATACACCTGCCTTTCCTCGTAGCTTTCACTCCTGCTATAGCATGGAAAGAGCAAGCCACTAAATTAAACCCCAGGACTACAAAGATAAACACAAAACTGCCCTAAAGTTCATCAAAATCTAAGAGGAAAGAAAGACACAACGTGTGCGAACAGTGAACACAGAGTCCTCTATTACGTCACATTAATGTCATACAATTAGTGAGCGGGAAAGGAGGTAGAGGGTTCATGGGCTACAACTTTTAGGCTTGGGCCCTTGTAAGCCTCAGATACTGGTTACTCAGGGGTTTTGGTTTGTTTCTTTTGTTTTATTCTTGAAAAAAGCTGCAACTTTCTGCAAGAGTATCATACATCTCTCTAAATGAAAAAAAATCGCTTGAACGTCAATTGCAACCCACTGTGGGAGGTCCTCAGACACACGGTTGTAGGCATACCTCCTCAATGACTACAGAGCCTGCTAAGATATTGGGAGACTGGGTATCTCCAATGGAGTGATGAGTCTGTTCTTTCTGGCTCCAGGCATTGGGGAGCAGGCTGGGACAGGAGAAAACAACTTCCCAGAAAATAGGCAGACTGTTCTAGAGGGAAATAAACAGGTTTCATCTACTCACCTACTAGGTGCCAGGTACAGTCTTAGGTGAGAAGAGAGAGAGAAATGGACAAAACAGAGATCTTGCCCTCCAGAGGAAGTTCTATGTGTTACTCATAAAAGAAAATATGATAATGACTTAGTGGTATGGAGGGCCCATTCTGAATGAATCAGCTCAAATAGAAGCACCAAAACTGTCCTGTAGCCCTCAACAGTCTGGTAGCTTACTAAGTAAGCATGCCTTGGTTTACG